TTTATTTATTTGTATGCATATTTTGTAAAATATTTGCATATTTTCGGGTTAACACGTGCATATTTATGAGCATATTTTCTACATTTTTATTTGCATATTTGCCGAAGTCTATTTATTATATAACTAATAAAAACTACAACTTTTGAGAAATACAACAAATATCTAGATGGATTATGATGAACATGAAAAATATTATTATAACATTATTAATATATAAATTAGTATTAAATTAGAATACAACCAACCGGCATATCTATGTTTCGTGGACCTTAAGAAAGCATTTGACCGAGTCAAATTGAAAGACGTTATCCACTTACTGTACGCAAGAGAGATTCCTCTAGGAATAATCAAAACGATCGAATATATTTCCCAAAACAACATAATAAAAGTAAAAGTAGAACATGAACTAACCGACCCTATTGAAGCTGGCAATGGGATAAGACAGGTAGATTCGTTGTGTCCTCTATTGGTTAACCTGATTTTGGATGAAATAATAAAAAAGTAAGACCTAAAAAACGATACCAAATGGAAGAAAAATAGCTTAAAATAATCTGCATGTAGACGATGCAATAATGCTCTCCCAAAGTGAAGATGAGTTACAACGTATGCTGCACCAATTTAATATAACCGCCAATAACAGCCAATTTACTAAGACGTAAATTTAAGCTGCAAGATTAAATATCTAGGCAGAACTGAATGAGACAATATGGAGAAATAAAAATATCGGGCAAGAAACGAAAGGCAGAATTTACAAAACAGTCATCAGACCAATAATGACATATGTAGCAGAAACAAGAGCTGACACAGAGAGGACAAAATGAATGTTAGAAACAACAGAGATGAAAACGCTTTGAAAATTGATGGTAAGACTCTATGGGAGAGAGCTAGAGCTACAGATATACGACGTAGATGCAAGGTGTAGAACATCAAGAACTGGGTAAAAAATAGAAGAGTAGAATGGAACGATCACATAAGCCCACATAAGCACAAATAGGAAGGTCCAATAAGAAGACGTTCAGTAGGAAGACAACAAAAACGATGGAACGACAACTACTGGAGGCACATTGAAAAACAGACAGAGTCATGTCTCAATAAAAAGAAGAGGAAGAAGAAGATAAAAAAATACATAAATGATGAATTTAATATATGTTTTAGAAGACAAAACTTTAAAAATTATATAATTTTCAAATGTCTTTCAGCTACAGAATTTTATTATTAAATTTTAGCTAATTCAAGTTTTTTTTGTGTCAAAAATATTTTGTAATAATACAAGATTACAATAATTTTTAAGTATTAATTGAGGGCTATCAATCACTAGACTACAGTCTAGTGGCTGTAATGCCAATGTACTCGGCAAACTGATTCCAAAAAAGAACACACCTACCGCCTAAATATTTTGTGTTGGTGTCATGTGACGTCACGGGGTATAATGCCGATGACGTGCATCGGTATATAAATTAGATGAAGTATAAGTCATTAAAAGATGGACCAAGGAAACTGGCGTCTTATTTTTCTTCAGTGGCCCCAGTCTTCATTTTAGGAGCACCTTAAGGATGTTGTTTCAGGAGTATTATTGACATTTATTTGTATGAATAAAAATTTTGACATTTTACTACAAAGAGAATATATTGTACTACATATATTTAAGTAGTGTATTTTTATATTAGTGTTTATTGTATTACCCTTAATTAAAACTTTCCAAATTTTGTATGACTTTTCTTTATATTATTAAGATTCTGATTCTCTAATTATCTTTATACTTTTTCCAATATTAGAGCGTTTATCAGTGTTTTACTTCCCCAAATATATTATATCACTGTAAAGGTTGCTTTAATTAATTTATGAGAAAGGGAAAAAAATGATACTAATAAAACAGATATGATGTACAACCCAATCTAATCACTACTTTTTTATGGAAAATATACAATCAACAAAAATTTTACATATATTACCCTTTACCCATTTTGTACAGTTTGTAGAATACCTGAATAAAAAAAATAAACCTATCAACTAATTTGTATACCCTAATACTAAATTGAATAATAAGAAAAGTCAAACTATTTATTAAAAAAAAGATAATTTACTCGTCTACTAGAAATATTATTTCTGCACTTCGGCAGTGGAAAATATTTTTCACTTCGTAGAAAAATTACTGCAATAAAGCTCCTTAAAAGTATCTGTAAATTGAAAGTTCTAGAGAATCTGTATTTAGAGTCACTAAGTACCCCAAGGTGTTGTTATTATGCTTGCTATAAATGACAGATGTTCAATATGCCGATGACCTTATTATCCATTGCTATGGGAGAAACATTAACACATCCTGTCAATTGTTACAGTATTTAGTCGATATCCTGCAAACCAAAAATCAAGTTCCAGCCCGCAGGAAAGTCTTTACGGCCAAAGTAACGAGCCCACTCTATCCCTTAGAAGACAACATCTACTTCTATCATATTATGCTTCCATTACATCAAGTAATCCTTGCAACCACATTTACCATCTTACTACCTTTATATCTGACTACTCCACTAGCAACTCCTCTCGCACCGTTATAGAGCCATTCCCGCAAATACGCCCGTCTATTAAAGAACACTGACCTATCCTTCATCCTGCCCATCCCTTCTTTAATCACCTCTTCCTGGACTAAACACGTCTCTGTATCTAACAGTTTTTTCCAACAATAATTATTATGTTTCTCCAAAACGTCCAATTAAAACTTCCAAAGAATTAACCGGTATCTTAAAATCTTAAATTCCTTGTGTCAGATTGACAAAACGTCCAAAAGAAGAATGATTTTTTCGAAACCTTTTTTTTTTTTCGATAACTGTGTATTTACAATAATTTTAATTACTATTAAACTGGGAATAAGCCACAATTAAAGATAAAAATACGTTTATTGTCGTTTTCAATTTCCACTTCGGAAATCGTTCTCAAAATACAAACAGTAAATTAAACAAATTTTGTTTTTTTGTTACATAGTGAAAAATTCTTCTAATAATTTAATTTTATCTGACTCATTTATATTGACAATTCAGACATACATTATGCATTTTAAAGTAGACGACTTTAAAATGATATTGCCAATATTGTTGAGTTGCGCTCCTGGGACGACTTTACTTATAAGATAGTTCATTCGATTACATGAAATCAACTTTAACTTGAGAATATCCGTCAGAAAAAATCATAGCATGTAATTCGTCTTTAAAAAGACAAACACATGACATGATGACAGTAAAATTCTCCTGTTAGTGATTCCATAGTAAATTATGAGGGAAAATTACCATGGAAAAGGAATATAATAACACGCTACCTTTCCTGGATGTTTTAATCTCTAAGAACGATACTGGATATGAGACTCAGGTGTATAGAAAACCAACACACACCAATAGATATTTAAATTTCAAATCGAATCACAATATTAATGTAAAAAAGGGAATAATTAAATCCTTATACGATAGAGCCAAAATTACTTGTTCTAACGAAAATTCGTTCTTGGAGGAAAAACATTTATTAACATCTGTTCTATTAAAAAATGATTATCCTTTATCGTTTATAAATAAGGAATTTTCAACAATCGATCGAATAGAACAGAACAACTTAGAACGAGATCCTACAGCATACACAAGGAATAATATGAGGAAAATAACAATGCCGTACATAAAAGGATTATCAGAAAAACTTAAAAGGATAGGAAATAAATTCAACATTTCAACAACATTCAAAACAACAAACACGTTGAGATCTATTTTGTCCAAAACCAAACCTAACAATGAACAAGAAAGGACAAAGAATTGCATTTATAAAATACCTTGTGAATGCGATCAGTTTTATTTAGGTGAATCATCAAGGCCATTAAATGTTAGAATAAGTGAACATCAATCCTATATTAAAAATATAGAATTTGATAGATCTCAAATCTGTAAACACGCATGGGATAATGAACATAGGGTTCAATGGAATAATTCAAATGTAGTCCTACAAGAAACGGATGGTAAAAAAAGAAAAATCAAAGAAGCGGCTCTAATTATGCTAAATGAAGCCAATTGTGTCGCAAATTCCTCGGCAGAATGTAGTAGGATCTGGTTACCAATATTGAAAGAGGAAGTTATTAACAAGAAAATACCAGTATTAGTAAGTCAGTAACATATAGAGGATACATCATTTATGTTTTTTAAATAACGTAACATATAAAATCAGAATTTTGATGTTTGTTGAAGGTAAACTAAATTCACGAACAAATACTTACAATGTCGGGATAGTATTATGAGGTTTTTTTCCTGGTTTTTCCCTCATAATTTACTATGGAATCACTAACAGGAGAATTTTACTGTCATCATGTCATGTGTTTGTCTTTTTAAAGACGAATTACATGCTATGATTTTTTCTGACGGATATTCTCAAGTTAAAGTTGATTTCATGTAATCGAATGAACTATCTTATAAGTAAAGTCGTCCCCAGGAGCGCAACTCAACAATATTGGCAATATTATTTTAAAGTCGTCTACTTTAAAATGCATAATGTATGTCTGAATTGTCAATATAAATGAGTCAGATAAAATTAAATTATTAGAAGAATTTTTCACTATGTAACAAAAAAACAAAATTTGTTTAATTTACTGTTTGTATTTTGAGAACGATTTCTGAAGTGGAAATTGAAACGTCAATAAACGTATTTTTATCTTTAATTGTGGCTTATTCCCAGTTTAATAGTAATTAATTCACAATGCCACAAGAAAATAGCTTCAGAACAATACAATAATTTTGTTTCAATTCTATTTTTTTTTTAATTATTGCTGCTTTTACCGGTTTGAAGAACACCGTTGACAACAGATATCCTCACCAAATGTAAAAAACAGATGTTGTTTTATTGTATAGATCCTGTAAATATGACAGAACAAAGGTATAATATGTTTCTAATCACTGTCTTTTTTAATGAATAATCTTGTTTTATATTTTTGTATCTAATATCATTTTTAATCAAAAGGATCGGCGTGGCGGATTCACATGTCAGAAGCCACGAAAATTCGGTTGGAAAAAGCCGGCGGATATCAAATCGAACCGAGAGGCCCTACGGAAATAAAGGGAAAAGGCACAATGGATACCTATTGGCTACTGGGAAAATCGGGATTTGATAAACCGGTACCAGATCCTCCGTCCCTTGAGTAAGTTTTTATGTTTATTTTTTAGGAAACATGATGAAAGTTTTATATTGGAAGGAAAAACCGCAATATTACAAGTGGTGTAATGCTTTTTAAATTCTGGGAACAGCGACTTTCTTGATTTTTGTTGTTTTATATGAATTTATCAAAATTTTATTTTATGTTTATCAAATTATTTAAATAAATTTAAAGTATTTATTCCAACAATATTAAATTTCCTAAATTTAAAAATATAAATTTTAAAATTTGGCGCCACAAATTTTATTATAATTGACAAATTAAAATTTATCATAATATTCTCAAAAAGTAGCCGCAAATATTTTTCATTTATTTCACAAGGATGGACTGTGTTAGATTATTCTGACCACGTTTTAAAGTTCGTTATACTGTTTTTACGTTGATTAAAATATAGTTTTTATTTTAGAAAAACGAAAATGTGTATTTTTAACTATATTTTTATAATAACACTATTTATTTACGGCTGTGCGATGGCTTTAGAAACTCACACAATTAAAGCTACGGTTTGTTAGAACAGTGCGCAGCGCACAGCAGAATCTGTTGTACTCGACTCACGGCAGTTTTGGGTGTTAGATTATTTCGCATAAATATTCTGTCGCTCTGAAAACAAGTTTAGAAATTGGTTTCACGTTTATTCTCTCAAAGATTGTACATTTAACAAAAATAAATTCTCACAAACTTAATGCAATAATTTTATTACTCCAAGAAGAGGAGGAAGAAGAAGAATTGATAACGGTAAATTTAAATAAAAGAAATAAAAATTTAAAGGAAAAATTTCGAGAATATTTTAGACTTTCTAGGGATTTATTTGGAACTGCCTTACAATTTGTACTAGATCGACTAGTCATTCACCTTCATCGGGAGAAAATTTGGTAGACATCACTTAATTATTACAATATTAATAACTACAGTGCTTTTCAGATAAAACTATCCACCTTAAATAACTTTTGAACCGCTAATTTTTTGGAAAAACGCAAAAACACTTTAATTAATATCTGAAGGGGGAGGCATAATATCATATTTAAGGTTGCTGGAAAATGCACCCTCTCACCCCCTGTATCAACCATTTTTTTTTTTAAATTACTTCCCCCTTTTTTTTATTTTATATTTGGATTATCATTTTTGTACTGATTTCAGAAATGTATAATACATGATACTTGAAGTGATTAGTTTATGAGAAAAGTAAATACAAAAGCAAGAAAATTGGATTGAAAAAAATTCTTTTTTAACAAATTTTATTACACACATTTAGAACAAACGTTTCACTTCTAAAAATTTTTACAATAATTGTTCCAAATGACTGCCTTTCACTTCCATACAATAGTACAAATTATTTTGAAATTCTTCTCTGACATTGCTTAACACGTATGCATTTAATTGTCGACATTCATCCTCTATTCTTTGTTGTAAATCATCTAGATATTCTGGTTGTGTAGCATAATTTTTGATTTTAAATACTCCCATAAGAAGAAGTCTAGGGGTGTTCAATCCGGTGACCTAGGTGGCCAATCGATCATCTGTCGTGTTTTACCTATCCAAGGACCGGGAAACGTTTCGTTTTAAAAATTATCGCACAGGTAAAGCAAAGTGTGGAGAAGCTCCATCATGTTGAAATACAACCAAATCATCGAAAGGTTGTCATCATTTGCTACTATTGTTTTAACGATCGACCACTTGCCTATATAATTCAAGATACGATGCACCATTTAAGTTTCCAGTGATAAAAAAGGGTCCGATAATGTGATTACGTAGGATACCACACCATACGTTTTAACCTTTGAGGATGCTGTGTGTGAAATTCGCGTACAATATGTGGATCACTCTCAGCCCAGTATCTGCAATTATATCTGTTCACTAAACCGTTTAATGAGAATGAGCATTCATCCGAGAAGCAAATATTGTTTAACAATTGTGGATTGTTAATGATGCATTTTATCATTAATTCGCAACATTCGGGACGACGATCAAAATCTTCTTCATTTAACTCTTGTACTAACTTAATTCTCAAGGACAAATTGCAAAAGCAAATCACTAATGCTGAAGAACAACAAGGTTTTACAAAAGGGCGGTCTATAACAGACGCAGTATTTGTAATAAAACAAATAAAAGAAAAAGCTATAGAGTTCGGCATGCCAGCGTATATTTGCTTCATTGATTTGACGAAGACATTTGACATAGTTCACCTGGGAGACATTCTAAATATATTAATAGAAAATGAAACACCGACCAGTATAACAAAGATACTTCATAACCTAAACAACAACAACGTAACCAAAGTTAGAGCAGGAGACGAATTCACTGAAAATATTCCAACACCGGGAGGAATTAGACAAGGCGACAGTTTAAGCCCCTTTTTGTTTAATCTTTTCATGGGCAAAATTATCAACAAAGTAACATCTCTTAATCTCGGATATAGAATGGGCAACAAAAGAATTGGTATGGTGTGCTACGCAGACGATGCAGCAATTATTGCCGAATCAGAAGATGATCTCCAAAGGCAGCTCTTTCAGTTCTTTCAAACAAGCCGACTATTAAATATGAACATCTCTACCAACAAAACTAAATGTATGACAATAGCAAAAGATCCGCTCAGATGTAAGTTAGTGGTTGAGGACAACCCCATAGAACAGGTGATGCAATTCAGATATCTGGGCATAGATATATCAAGCACCCATGACCCAGTAAAGAACCTGAGGAGTCAGATCAACAAAGCATCTGCACTGTCAGGATGTCTGCGGGAGATAGTCTGGTCTAATCCGTATATGCGCACAGATAGTAAAATTAGAATCTATAAGACTTGCATACGACCGATCATGACATATGGCATAGAAGTGCGCGAAGATACCAACAAAACGAAACAGATGCTAAGGGTTGCCGAAATGAAAACCCTAAGAACAATAATGGGGAAAACAAGAAGGGACAGAGTGAGAAATACAAACATTAGAGAGCAGTGCAAAATTCAAGATATTGTAAGATGGGGAAGACAGCGCAAGAGGATGTGGTACAACCATATAAGACGAATGGATGAGAATAGACTCCCAAAAATTGCCCTAGAAAACAATCCGCCTGGTTCAAGACCCCCCGGAAGACCACCTAAAAGATGGAGAGATAGTTGGCAATCTACCTCCCAAGAAATTAACCAGAGGCAGCTTCAGAATTAAACAGATCGAAAGATCTACAAAAAGTAGAAGAAGAAGAAGACTAACTTAATTTTATATGGGTAAAACTTAAATTTAGGGAGGACTCGGAAGGCTGTAGAAGATGAAACACCGATTGCTCTGCTTATTGTTGACAGTGACTGTGATTGTTAAGAGTCTAAGTTAACTTGCCCTAAAACAGCTACTTGGATTGCTTTTTTATTTACAATTTCCTGTCGGTTATGTTTTTTATTGCAAACTGACCCTCTTGATCTAATTTTTTCTGCATCAGTTCAATCACACACTTATGAGTTGTATGTTTATTGTGGTGTGTTTCATTAAAAATTCTAGCAGCAGCTCTTGCACAATTATTATTTTTGTAGTATAAACCTACAATTTCGATTCTTTCTTGCAAAATGTATACCATTTTAGCGATCAAATTGCACACGTATCAAAATAAGCTGTTACTTACAAGTTATAACAAATTGTCGCTATTAACCGATTAAAACAAATGTAAAAATGATATCGGAAACCTTTGATAAAACTTGAATAGAAGGTGAATTTTTTTGTTTCTTGGTTTTTAAAGGTACTACAAATAGTACGGTTAGATATTTAAAGAGTTTAAATTATGCTACAACCTATTTTGTTAGAGTCAATTAAGGTGAGGTGAGATACTGTCTTCTGAACAAGAAAATTGTCTATCTGATAAACTAATCACTTCAAGCCAAAGGTATTATACATTTTTAAAATCAGAACAAAAAGAAAAATCCAAATATAAAACAAAAAAGGGGGAAGTAATTTAAAAAAAAATAAAGGGTTGATACATGGGGTGAGAGGGTGCACTTTCCAGCAACCTTTAATATGATGTCTCCCTCTTCAGATATTAATTGACGTGTTTTTGCGTTTTTCCAAAAAATTAGAGGTTCAAAAGTTATTTGAGGTGGATGGTTTTATCTGAAAAGCACTGTATAGATGATTGACTCATTGTGAGTTATGCGTCGCTTACTGTTCTAACAAACCATAGCTTTATACTCGTCCTGTCAAACTCGTAACGTTTGCGCTAGCTCTCTTTGACTTTATCTTTGGTACCTCGCATTTTTAACAGCCGGCAACTCTATTTTTTTTTTTCAGGCAAACTTGTATTACCATATTAACCCTTCGGTGCACGGGTAATAATTTGATACACGAAGGAACAGGTTGGGTCTGAGACGCTCAAAAATTAAACTAAGAATTTTTTATGTTTAGTTTTGTAACAACAGGTTTGCGTTGCATATACTAGTACTACTACTAAAGACAACTTAGATGTACATAAAAAAATGAACTGCTTTTATAATATTAAAACTAAAGATATAAAAGAAATTACATAGTACAATATGGCAGATGTTTAAAGAACACCTTGTATATAACCTATTCAGTCATTTTATCAATGCATATGCGACAAACAGGTACGGTATGTTCTAAGCAAATATTTTTTTTTACAGTAGTGACACATGTAGCGAGTTTTACGATCTCTACAAAAAGCACAACGCCCCCTTTTATTTTGCAATTCCGCAGGCGCTTCTACTGGTCCAACATCACTGAGTTTAGCAGCAAGCTCTCTTATATCTCGTGCCAAATGAGGAGATTGAGCTCTTGCTTTTATATTGTCCGTCACTAACTAAATACCTCGTTCTTTTAAAAAAAGTCTTCTTCTTTTGCTTGTTTTTAGATCCAGTGTGGTACTTCTCTGTATCACAAATGCATTTATTGCAGCAACATCAAGCAATGCATAAAAAATGACCATGGGCCAGCATTTTGTATTTCTTGCGACAGTATAGGAACCTCGAAGTTGATCAACGGTGTCCACAC